CCCCTTAATCCCAATAAAAGCTGGGACACAAAGAAAGGAATTGTCTATCTCCTCTCTGAGACCACCTACTGTCTCCCTTGAAGGCACTTCTTTCCTGTTCAAACTCCCATCTTACTTGAAATGTTCTCTTGCAAGAACACAAAAATCTAGAAAACAACATGACCCATGGTAACAAAATAATAACCACTCAATGTAGGCATATTTCTGTTACAATCTAATTTAGCTAGCCTGGGAAAATTAAACATTTAAAATTTTAGAGGTTTAAATCTTACCTCTTGCAAAGTATAAATATACTACTACATCATGTTTAATAAACAGGTAGTCATTTCCTTAAATATTAAAAAAAAGAAGGATTTTTTTTTTTCAAAAAGCCAGGATTAAAGCTAAGATGACCAACTAAAAGTGTCTGATCACAGTGCACACCTGGTACCAGGCTAGGCTCACATCCTTGTCTTGCTTCAACTTTAGCAAGACTGTTTCATAATTAAACCTGAAATTGGCCTTTGTGTTAACATAGATATAATTTTACATATTAAAGAAGTAGCCATCTACTCCCACCCTGTTGAGTGTTACTATCAGGACAGTTGTTAAATTTGGTCAAATAACTTCTCAGCATCTAGAGAGATAGCTATGCCATTATTTTCTTAAACAACGAATTACAGTAACTGGTTCTCCACTATTAACAAAAGGTCTTTGCATTCTATGGCTAATCTCCATGGCTGGGTTCTGTTTACCCCTATCTATTTAGCATTTTGTATCAATCCTCACACATGAAACTAGTCTGTAGTTTCCTTTTTTGTGTGATCTTTCTCAGATTTGGTCTCAATGTTAGACTTGCTTCTTGAAAAGAATCTGGATCTTTCTTTTTAAATAATACTGGAATCATTTGATCTTTAAATATTTGGTAGACATTCTCTGGGAAACTGGACATCATGCTTTGGTAAGAGGTAACTTTGACAACTTTATTTCTTCTATGAAAATTTAACTGTTTAGATTTTCTATTTTTTCTGGGGTCAGTTTTGGTCACTTATCAATTATATCAATTCTGGGCTGGGGCTGTAGCTCAGGAGTAGAGCACATGCCTGGCACATTTGAGGCCTTGGATTTGGTCCAAGATAAAAGAAAAAAATCCATCCAAGTTTTCAAATTTATTTTCAAAGGCTTGAGAAAACAGTCTCCTATGATTCTTTCAATTTTATTTCTGTGTCCTCCTTCTCAGTTCTCCCTTTGTGTATTTACGTCTTCTTTCTTTTTTTTCTTTATTAGACCAACTCATCATTTACACTATTATTGTTGCAGTTTACTTAGTTTCCAAAGAGCTACCTTTGGAACTAACTATATTCTATTTTTTTTATTTTCCCCCATATTTTTTCTTGGTGCATTATAATTATGCATTATTACATATATGTTCATGCACACAATACAATGATATAATTTGGCCAATATCACTCCCCAGTATTTCCCCTTTCCCCCCTCCCCTGGTCTCTTTCCTCTACTCAACTGATCTCCCTTCAATTTTTATGAGAACAGTGCCCTTTTCTTTTCCTTTTTCCCCTCTAGCTTCACATATGAGAGAAAACACAACCCCTGACTTTCTGAGTTTGGCTTACTTAATATAATGTTCTCAAGTTTCATCCATTTTCCTGCAAATAACATAATTTCATTTTCCTTTATGGCTGAAACCTCTATGGTGTGTGTGTGTGTGTGGGTGGGTGTGTGTGTGTGTGTATTACATTACATTTTTTATCATTTATCCATTGAGGAATACCTAGGCTAGTTCTACAGTTGGCCTATTGTGAATTGTGTGCTATAAACATGGGCAATTATACATCACTCCAGTATGCTCACTTTAATTCTTTAGGATAAATACCAACGAGTGGTATAGCTGGATCATATGGTTGTTCCAGCTCTAGTTTTTTGTCTACCACTTTTTTATTTACCCTAAAGTTCTTAGAAGAAGAAACCTTCAGCAGGTGTTCTGCATCTGTTATCTCCCCACTCCAAAAAAACAGCATCACAACAAAAAACAATAAACTCTACCAAGGAACATAAGGACTGGTTAAGATAAAGCTAAACTGAATTTAATATAATTTGGGCAATATCATTCCCCAGTATTTCTTTCCCCTTTCCCTCCTCTCCTCCCTCCCCGGGTCTCTCTTTTTTTTTTTTCTTCTTTTTTTTTTTTTTCTCTAATGGTCTCCCTTCAATTTCTATGAGCTCCCCTTCCCCTTTCTTTTCCTTTTTCCTCTCTAGCTTCCACATACAAGAGAAAACACACCTGTAATCCCAGCAGCTCACAAGGCTAAGGCAGGAGGATCACGAGTTCAAAGCCAGACTCAGCAAAAGCAAGGTGCTAAGCAACTCAGAGAGGCCCTGTCTCTAAATAAAATACAAAAGTAGGGCTGGGGATGAGGCTCGGTGGTCAAGTGCCTCTGAGTTCAATCCCCAGTACCCCCTAAAAGAGAGGGAGAGAAACACAATCGTTGATCTTGAACTAGTTTTCGGGTATTATCCAAAAATCTAATATTTTTTGGATTGTTTCTTTGGTATCTGGAGGACATAGCAAAAATGTTGTAATATATAAAAAGAAAAATTACAACAAGCTGAAGAAGTTCAGCATTTAAAAAGTATTGCTTTATTATGAAGAATACAAATAATAATAAATGCTGGTGAGGATGTGGGGCAGGGGATGTACACTCATACATTGTTGATGGGAATGCAAATTAGTAAAACCACTCTAGAAAGCAGTATGGAGATTCCTCAAAAAACTAGGAATGGAACCACCATATGACTCAGCTATGCCTCTCTTTGGTATTCAACCAAAAGAACTAAAATCAGTACACTACAGTGATACAGACATCAATGTTTATAGCAGAACAATTCACAATAGCCAAGTTATGGAACCAGCCCCAGGTACCCATCAACAGATAAATGCATAAAGAAATACACTATACACACAATGGAGTTTTACTCAGCCATGAAAAAGAATGAAATTATGGCGTTTGCTGGTAAATGGATGGAACTGGAGAATATGATATTAAGTGAAATAAACCAACCTCAAAAATCAAAGGTTCAATGTTCTTCTTGTGACGAAGCTAAAGCACAATAAGGGGAGTAAGGGAGGCTGGAAATTCAGATATTGTAAATACACAAGGAAGATCAGTGGAGTAGAAGAGACAGGGAGGGAGTAAAGACTGGAAAGGGGAGAAAATGTGGAATGAATTTAATAAAATCAAGCTATGTGCATTATAAATATATCACAATGAATTTAATCTTTGTGTACAAAGCACCAGTCAAAAATAAATAAATAAACTAGTGAAAGGAACATCAGTAGAATATATGAAGGAGAATAGGGGGAGCAGGAGGACAGAGGAAAGGGGGGTGAGGCAACCAAGGACTGAAATGGAGTAAATTAAATTCCATGCATGTATGATTTTGTCAAAATAAACCTAACTACAATGTTCTTTAAAAAAAAAAAAAAAATAGCATTGTCTTTAAATGTCCACTTACAAATACTGGCTTGTCACAGACAATTTTAAAGATAAATGTACAAAGTTTAGATAAGCTGGCCCTAAAGCCCATATTTTTAAAAAAATAATCTGGGGGCTGGGGATGTGGCTCAAGTGGTAACAAGCTCGCCCGGCATGTGCTGGGCGCTGGGATCAATCCTCAGCACTATGTAAAAAACAAAAATAAAGATATTGTGTTCACCGAAAACTGAAAAATAAATATTAAAAAAAATTCTCTCTCCTCTCTCTCTAAAATAATAATAATAATAATAATAATCTGGATTTTTTTCAATTTAATCTCGGATTTAAATTAAAAATTAACCTCTAAGGCTGACGATGACTGAATAAAATGATGAAGGTGGAATACAGACAACAGCAAACGTTAATTAGGTGAAGGAGAAAAAGGTCACACCATTTCCAAACTTCTTCAGACCCCAAAAATCTCTACCGCGGCTAATCTCACAGTAAGTATTCCACGTTAAGACAACCCTTGGCAATGGTAAGCACCGCACCGAGGTACTGCAGGGTGAACATCCCTCATGAGAAATGCGTGGGACCACGGGTATTAGATTGTGATTTTTTTCCTATTTTGGAATACTGATATACACATGAGGTATTGTGGACATTTGAAGGAAGTCTAAAACGAAATTCATTTATGTTTTATACACATCTTACACACACAGCCTTAGGATAATTTGACTGCGTTTTAACTGTGACCCATCGCCCAACGTGTGACTTGGAATTTTCCGCTTGTAGAACCGTGTGTTGCTCAAGAAAGTGTGGATTCCTGTTTTCGAATAAGGGATGCTCACCCAGTTCCGCTCTGCTATGGGCCTGGTACTGGTGGACCCACACAGTCCTGGACAGAAATTGAGAGTAAGCTTTGAAAAATCAGGGAGCATCCACACACGTAACCATTTCCCTAGTATTTCCTCTTTACTGTAAAGTTTGGGAAGCTCTGCTCTAAAATGACACCTCCGCGTGACTCATCAAGGGGGACAGCCAGGCCGTCCTGGAGGATAACGGGGGCCGGGGACAATTCTCGCAGCCAGAACACTGGACTAAAGGCCATTTTCAAAACCCAAGCCTGCATCGCCAGATCTCGTTCCGGCGCTTCCAGGGACGACTCGTACCGCACCTCGGGGGCGGATGGCCGCAGCGACGGGACGGGCAGGAGGGAAAACCTGCGCCTTTCAGGCCCAGAGCGTGGCTGCAGGTACCGCACCCCGGTAGAGTTAAACAGTCATTCTAGGGTCTTTCAAAGGGCTCTGATTTGTTTTAACGCGCGGGAAGCTAGACAACCTGAGGAGCTCCGGGTACAGCCCAGCAGCCTACCCACCCCTGCTCCGACCGCGGCGCCCCGCGCGCCTGCGCGGCTCCGACCTCCGCACGCTCAAGCCGGACGTGACTTCCTTCCGGGCGGCGGTGGACGCCCGCGCCGGTTCCGCGCATGCGCAGCGGCGCACCCGCTCCTCGGCAAGCGATCCTTACCTGCTACCGGCATGGCCTCTCCGCGGCCGGGCAAGGCCTCCTGGGGCCCGACGAGCTTCGAGGCGGACATCCTTGGGACAGGAAGGAGGCTGTGGAGGAGCTGGCAGGCCCTCCTGGTGGCCCGGAGCATGGACGGGCGCCGGCCGGGGGCGTCCGGGTGGGACGGCACGGCCGAGAGCTAGGAGCCGCGCGGCGGGCGGGCGCTGCTGCGATGCGGCGGCCGGCAGAGTGGAGGTTGCCTAAGCCGGGCCCCCGGCGGTCAGCGAGGGCGTGTTCTTCCCGCGGGGGTGCCCGGCCCAGCGCGGCCGCCCGCGAGTCGCGGCTCTAGCTCAGGGGCAAAGTTCTCAGGAGAACGACGCGTGTCCTACTAGCCGCACAAGTACGTGAAGCGGCAGGGACCAAAAGATGGTGGTGTGTAGCCCGGTGGTCTGGCTGGTGTCGAGGTTGCTTCGCGCTTGGCCACCCCCCTAGCAGTTGCTCACTGTGCTCAGTAAGGTGTGAGGCCCAGCCCGCCGACAGCTAGGAAATGGAGGTTTCCTTTGGAGCCATTGTAAAGACAAGTCCTCAAATAGATTTCTGCTGATCCAAAGAGAAAACCCATCACTCCTCTCAAAAAGCACAGTATAGGGATGATGTATTCAACAAAATAGTGACCCTTTATGTATAAATTTACTCCTAAACCCACTTTGCAGGCCATTACATAGAGGAACCAGGCATAGACAACACCGTGAACAAGTTTAGGTGAAGGTGAATGATGCCGTTGGATCATTCTTGTTTCTAAAGTCACGGGAGGTAACATTTGTTTCTGTGACAAAATTTCAACCTAAATGTGAGAAGTGACTTGGGAGTTCCGTATGTGAAATACCGGTTTTACATATTGTGCCAAGATGGGTGTATGGTCTCATATGAAGGAAGGAACTTAAGATTAGCACCCACAGAAATGAGAAGCTTTGACCCATCCTCCCCCAGTGTTTGGTTACCGCTTTGTCTTTATGGGAGGCCGTAATATAAGGAGGACAGAAGGATTAACCTATGCACAGAATGTTGCCAGACACACAGCCTCAGATTAAAACATTTATTTTGTAATGTATATTTCCCCTGGGCCAAACAGTGCCTGTTCTTACTTTTGATTTGTTTTTGTCTTGAGAGTAAACCAAGCAGGTTCTAAAATCCTTTCCTGGAAACACCAAGATGTCCCTTCTAAGCTTAGGAAGTCCTGGTCACTGTTTAGGCATTTGAAAATAAAAAGATCTGTCAAAGGAAATAATTCTAAATTACTGCCTTTTGATACATGTTGGTTTGATTTTTGTTTCATGGTTGACTATAACATACTAGAAATACTCTGCAACTAAGAACTGAAGAATTTTTAACATTAAGGGGAACAACATTTTACTGTTAAGTGAACAACCACAACAGAATTACAATGTATGTATATTTCATGTGTAGTGTGTACAGAAATGCATATAGTCCCAATTCCCCACTGAAGAAAAACTAGATTTTTCTAATTAGATATAAAAAAAAGCAACATTGCTGTTTTGTGGTTCATAGTAGTAGGATTCTACTAATAAAGTTTCCCTTACACTTTTGAAAATGCTCTATGTACATTGTTAAAACATTCTCAAGTGTTCCAATGGCTATGTCATCTTTATAGTTACAAAAATAAATATTTTTAAAGAAAAATATACATTTATTTATTTCAAAGCTTCTTTTCCTAAACAGCAGTTGAGGTTTTGTTTTGAGGAGAGAATTAAAAATTTGCTTTCAGCAACGCAGTTTTCACCCCAGGCTTCCCTTTTCTTCACTTTCTAGCTACTTCCTCCTGACTTCTCCACCCTGGGGTACCCCACCCCATCCTTTTCACCAGCTGGTACTGCTTTGATTTGTTGTTTTTTTCAATTATTTTTTGGTTTCCCTACATATTCTAACAATTTATATCCTTTAGGGTGCAGTCTAAGCATCCTATAACAAGGAGACCCAAAATATAGACATTTAAACAAAATAGTAGTTTCTCTTAGATGTAACAATCTAGAAAAAGGTAGTCCCCTGAGCTGGATCGTGTCTTTTCTTTCACAATATCTTGTACAGAATGGACTCACATGAAGTATTCAATGATTATCTATTGAATTTATGTGTAACCCTGACAGGTCAGCAAAAGTTTCTTTTCCGTTTCTTCAAGAATGGCTCTGCCAGAGATAGTGCTCAATTTCAACACTAAGCTTAGGTTCTAGATGGGATATAGATTTGGTTGCTTAAACTGAGACTCCAAGATATTAGATCTGAAACAATATAGTTTGTTGCTTTTGTTTTCTTCTTTCTCTCATCTAATGACCTGTAGGCAGTCCAGAACTAGTAAGTCAACTCTGCCACCTTCCTCATCCCTGGGCACCTGGGTGCTTGGGTCACTCCAGCATCTGCTATCACATCTGTATCTCAGCCACGCAAAAAGAAAAAAGGTGCACATCTCAGTACTTTTAAGTGTCCCAGGAGTGGCACATCTTATTTCTATTTAATTCCTTGACCTGATTAGAGACATATCCAAATCTGTTAAGAAGGTGAGCAACCATGGATTCACCTAATACTTAGAAATTCTAGGAATGAAGAAGATGTGATTATACTTTAGTGAACAACTCTGTCACAGACCACTTCTTTGGCCACCTAAATATTGCTGTACACTTTTCTGACATAAAATGCCCTATTCCAAAGCAGAAAAGATTCCAAGAAGTTCATATCCAGTTCAAAGTCCACAATCTGAAGATGTTGTGCAGTCCTTTACAAGTCTGATCCAGTGACTTATAAGGTAGAAGGTAAGTTTTCTATTCCTCTTACCCTCCCCCAAACAATTTATTATGGTGAAGTAGGACTATGGAAAACACTTCAGAAATAGTACAAAAGAATAATCCACAATCTGGTCAAGTGTTATAAAGGGGAAATTTCATAGATTGCCTCCCTAACTTTACCTGCACTGTTTGTATAACCTGGACTGCCTGGTTGTCTCTGGTTTTCTAGACTTAACTATTCTTTACCACTCAATTCAATATTCATCTGCTATGACTTTGAAGTGGTCCAATTGTGTTCCCACCAAGGAGCATGTTAAAGGCTTGTCCCCAGGGTGGCACCATTGTGAAGAAAAGAGGAACCTTTAAGACGCAGAGTCTAATGGAAGGGACATGGGTCAACTGAAACTGCTCTCAGAAGGGATTGTGGGACCCCAGTCTCTCTGTTCCTGACTGTAGATGTAATTGCTTGCTTACTTCCATGTCCTCCCACGTTGCTACCTGTGCCATGAGGTGATGGCTAAGGAGCAGCCCCACCATAGCCTGGCTATGCTCTGTGAACTTTGAACCTCTCAAAGGGTAAACCAAATAAACTTCTTATTCATAAGTAGCCTTCTTCATAAGTAGTCAGATATTTCATTAAAGTGATGAAGAGCTAATATATCTTTGTACAACCTTCCCTGTTGGCACAAAACCGTTCCATCATGGGTTGGCCCATAGTGCCAATTGTTCATACCATTCAGCACATAGCATACACTGCCTTGTGTTATTTGTCATCTAAAAAGATATACAAGTTATTGTGGAGGTTCGAAATACATCTACAAATCCCCTGGCACTTCCTTCTAAAGGTGGAGCCCAACTCCCATCCCTTTTGGCAGAACTCTGTTTTTGCTTCTACTGAATAGAACAAGACAGAAGTGATGATGTGTGGGACCTCTGAGGCTAAGTCATAAAGGGCAAGCAGCTCCTTGCTTGCTTTGGGTCATTCCCCCAAGGGAAGCCAGTTGTCTCACCATGAGCATTACAGTCAGTCCGGTGGAAAGGTCCAAATTTCAAGGAATCAAAGTCTCCAGCTAACAGCCAGGTGACTGAGCAACTTTGGAAGCAGACCGTCCAGCCCCAGGCAAACTTGGATGGTATCTTATCTGCCATCTCATAAGAGACCTTAGCCAGAACCACCCAGCTAAGTGGCTCCCGAATTCCTGACCCATAAAAACTGTGAGATTGTTAATATTTGGTGGTCATCTGTCAAAAAGACCCCACATCCAAATAATATCACATCAAGGTAGTACTTCAAGATAGGAATGGGGTGGGGGACACAAATGCTGGGTTCATAGCAAAAAATAACCACATGCACAATGAAATGGACCAACATATTTTAAAATGACCTAGATTAGATTAGAAGATAACAGGGTGCATCAACAAGCAGTAAGGGTAAATATAATTTGGGGAAATTTTTGTTGTTCTGTTATATACATATGGGTGTATAGTGTGTGCAATGTGCGGAGACATGAAACATATTTCTTTAATTTTTTAATTTTTTTTTGTAGTTGTAGATGGACAACATGCCTTTATTGCATTTGTTTGCCTTTATCTGGTGCTGAGGATCGAACCCAGTGCCTCACATGTGCAAGGCAAGCACTCTGCCATTGACCTACAGCCCAGCCCGGAAACATATTTCTTAATGTAGCCTTTGGTAAACATGAAAAATAAAAAGACAAACTTGAAAGCCACAGTCTAGAGAGACTATAAGCTTCTGGGTCATCGCAGTGTGTCATGTGAGGCGAGAGGGTGCAATGGCTGAGGGCAGCCTCACAGGATGTTGCACAGTTGTGTTCTGAGTGGAGAAAGCAGGTTACATTCCAAGGAGTTTGAGGACATGGAAAGACTGAGAAAACCAGTGAGCCCACTATAGCCTGGATTCAGGGCAAAGAAGACCCAGTACTGTGATCCTGTGCCATAAAAAAATTCCCTGTCTTTAATACCAGGAATGAACATGATGGCTCAGGGACTGAGCAGGAGCCCAGGGGACAGGAGTCCAAGCTACATCAATGAGATATGGTAAGGATGGGGGACAAGGCTGAGAGACCCTGACATCAGGAGCTTCTCCCAGTATCTAGATGCCATTGTGGAAAAGAAGGGGTAGGGAAAGCCCCGGAGAGAATTCCAAGAGACCAAGGAGTTACCAAAGAGGCTCTTTTAAACACGAGAACACCAAGAAGTCACTTTTACTGGGCAAGATCAAGCATTTTCCTCTGTTTTTAGAAATGAGAGGCAAAGGGCAAGTTGAGAGGTGTATTAATTCCTAATCTCCAGCATAATATTAACTTTTATATATCCCTGGTCAGTGAGCCTAATCACATGCCAAACCTTTCCGTGAACTTAGAAACTCAAGTGCTGACTTATTTTGTCATTTTTTTTTTTCATAAAACCATCTATGTGCTAAGTCTACTAAAAA